CTTGCTTTACACTAGCTCCTGTGCCCCACGGCTTCAGCTACCAGTCCCCAATCTCTACTCCAGTCCAGACCTCTCACCGGGTTCTACTCCTGGGTATTCATGGGTCTCAGAAAGAACACGGCGACACTGAACTTCTCCCCTTCTTCTGTGTTCCCCTTGGTGCCCGTCACCTTCATCTCCTCAAGTACCCAGACAGGAATCAAGCATCATTTGGGTTTGTTCCCTCTCTTCCCCCCACAAACCCAATCCCCATTGCGTGGCTGAATGCAGGAGTCTTGTGCTTGGTCTGCCTCACGCTAAGGCAGGACACAGAGATGACCAATGTGGATGGTGCCAGCCTGCCTGGGTAGAATCCCAGCTCAACCACCCACTAGCTGTGTGACCTTGGGGGAGTTACTTAACTTCCCTATGTCTCGGTGAAATGGGACTATAATAGATAGTCATAATAACCTCTATTATAGGATTGTGGTGAGGTTTAAATGAGTTAATAGATGTCAAAATACTTAGTACAGTAAAATGGTGAGTGCAATAGAATTTTGTTATCATCATCACTATTATTTCATTTACTTATGTTATAAATATTTATTTTTATTTATTTATTTATTTTAGATTTTATTTATTTATTTGACAGACAGAGATCACAAGTAGGCAGAGAGGCAGAGCAGGCAGAGAGAGAGGAGGAAGCAGACTCCTCTCTGAGCAGAGAGCCCAATATGGGACTCGATCCCAGGACCCTGGGATCATGACCGGAGCCAAAGGCAGAGGCTATAACCCACTGAGCCACCCAGGTGCCCCTATTTTATTAATATTTTAGAATGCCCACTATGTGCTGGGCACTTTCTTTATCATCTAAAGCTGGGGACATGAAAGGGCATGGTTGTGAACAACAAAAATGACTCCTAACCCCAGGAACTTCAAGATGGAAGCCTTTTTGTAGTAGAAGTCCTTGCTACTGGATCCAGACCCCACTCTTTCCTGTCTTTAAACAAAACAAAAGCAAAAGCAAACAAACGCTGGATTTCACGTCTCCCTCCAGCCATTGTCCTAGCTTACTCTTCTGCCAGCCAGTTTTTATTCGCCGCACACCCACGACGTGCCAGCCACTGTGCTGGGCGCTGGAGAGTCAGCAGGAAACAAAAGGGACAGATCTCTACCCTCGATGAGTTTATCTTCTGGTTGAGGATATGGACAATAAACAAATATATCCACATACATAATATAACGTCAGCGATATTTGTAGATGCAGTAAAAGAAGACGAAGTGAGGGAGGGAACACAGAGTGACCAGGGGATTGGTGGCGATTTTAGATGGGAGGTGGGGAGGGTCCTCTCTGAGGATGGCAGATCTGAGGGACGCCCTGCATGGAGTGAAGTGATCTAGGATCTGGAGGACGAGGGGTCCAGGTAGAGGGAACAGTAAATGTAAAGCCGTGTGATAGCAACAAACGTGAATATTGGTGGAACGGCAAGAAGGCTCTTGCGCTGAGTGAGCAAGGCTGGGACGGGCGCCAGCACTTAGGATGACCCTACACATCTGGAAGCCTTGGGCTGTCCCTCCATATTTACTACTATTGCCTCCTTTCCCCTCTCAAGAGCGCCCCAGCTTTAGATGATAAGTTACATAGTTACCCTAGATAGAGACCATGGTCGGCACTTGGGATTCTGTTCCGAATGTGATGGCAAACCTATGGATAGTTTCGAGCAGTATGGGACATGATCTGACTGACACTTTAAAGGAGCTTGACTGAGGACTTGAAACACCCTTCTGGCTGCTGTAACACCCCACTTGGCTCTCCTCCACCTCCCTGGCTGCTCCCTCTCAGTCTCTTCTGGCAGCTCTCTCCTACTCAACGCCTAGTGTTGGGGTTTCCCTAGGCCAGTGGTTCTCAGCCAGGGGTGCTTTTTCCTCTAGGGGATATTTCCTACAACCCAGGGACATTTTTAAGTGGGGAAGGTGCTAGTGGCACTTAGCGAGTAAAAGGCAGGGATGCTGCTAACCATCCTACAATGCACACACCAGCTCCACACAATAAAGAATTTTCCAGCCCCAGGGACACCTGGGTAGCTCAGTCGGTTAAGCATCTGCTTTCAGCTCAGGTCATGATCTCAGGGTCCTGGGACTGAGTCCCTCCAAGGGCACCCTGCTCAGTGGGGAGTTTGTTTCTCCCTCTGCCCCTCCTCCCACTCAGCACACACTCTCTCTCAAAAATAAATTAGTAAGATCTTAAAAAAAAAAAAAAAAGCCCAACAGCAAAAAAGAATTTTCCAGCCCCAAATGTGCTGAGGTTAAGTAACCCTGCACTAGATTAGCACGATCCAAAAGAAATGTAATGAGAGTTGCATAAATTTTTCTAGTAGCCAAATTTAAAACAAAAACAAAAACAAAAACAACTAGGGGTGCCTGGGTGCCTCAGTCAGTTAAGCATCTGCCTTTGGCTTAGGTCATGACCACAACACTGAGTCCCATATCAGGTTCCCTGCTCAGTGGGGAGTCTGCCTCTCCCTCTGCCCCTCCCTGCCCCCTGCTTGTGCTCACGCTCTCCCACAAAAATAAATAAAATCTTAAAAATAACTAAAAATAAAAGTGAAGTTAAGTTTAATAATTTAGTCCAATATGTGCAAAATATTATCATCTTAACATATTAATCAATAGTAAAGATACAAATGAGATTCTTTCCTTCTTTCCTTTCTTTTCTCTCTCTCTCTTTCAGTTCTGGTATGTACTTCACACTTAATACACACAGCAATTTAGACCAGCCACGTTTCAACTGCCTAGTAGCTACATGTATCTCATGGCTATAGTATTGATGGTGTAGTTCTAGGCTCAGTACTAGATAAGAGAGCCTAATGTTTAAGAACTATACAAGGTAATAAAGCCTAATGGTTTGGTCCTGGAACCCAGTTGTCTTGTTGAATTCCAGCCCTTCCATTTAATTCCCTGTCCATTTTTTAAAGTTTTTTTTTTTTAATTTATTTGAGAGAGAGAGAGAGAGGAGGAGGAAGCAGGCTTCCCACGGAGCAGAGAGCTCGATGTGGGGCTCCATCCCAGGACCCTGGGATCATGACCCAAGCTGAAGGCAAAGGCTTTAACCCACTGAGCCACCCAGGCACCCCCTGTCTATTTCAGGTATAGAGTTACTCTACCTCTCAGGGTCTTCATTTCCTATTTTAAAGTGGGGATGACACAATATTACTACTTTATAGAGCTGTCCAGAATTAAATGAGTTATTATACTTACAAAACAGTTTCAGGTGTAATAAAACTATTTAGCTAGACCCCTCTTCTATTTTCATCCACACTTTCTCTCTGGGTAATCCATCTACACCTGTAATTTTAAGTGCCACCTATTACCTAGTAACTTCCAGATTTAAATATACCTCTTTTCTGAGGTCCAGACCCGCTGTTTCACTGTGCATCCCATTTTGATGACCTGGGGCATCTCACATGAACATGCACACAAAAGAGCCCTTCACCTTCCCCTGCAAATCCACGACACTGCCAGGCCTTGCAGTTGGAGTCCCTACACAGGGGCAGGTACCTCGTGGCATCTCTGATCTCTGCCTTTCCAGGGAATGCCCAGTGCGTGGATCATGCCACTTCTATGTTGGTTGCGATTTCCACTCCACTGGTGTATGCCCACAGAAGGTGTGTGAGCGCTGAGGGCATCTGGGGTAAAAGTCCATAGGTGTGGCTGGGGTGACCACTAGGGCCTTCTGAGAAAGCATTGCATGCAGGCTCTGACTGTTCCTACTACCCTTGTCTCAGAGTGTGTGTGAACGTGTACTTGTCCATGTGTCTGTGGACATGTGTGGAAGGGGGCACAGGGACGTTATTGCCCACTACTGTAATCAAGGGTCCGCAGCAGGTCTGGAAAGTGCAGGTATGCTCGGATGACCAATCCTATTCGCCCAAGCAGAGGGGTGGCTTCCTCTGTGTTCTGGTGGGCCGGTGAAGGAGAGAGACTTCTCTGGGGTCTGATGCACCACATCAAGACACTCCCGTCTCTTCCTCCCTGCCTTCCTTGGAGTCCACCTTGCAGGCTGTTCCCTTTCTGCTTCCTTCTGAGCCTTGGGAGCTCCCCTGAGGTACTGGGCCATAAGGATGGCTGGTGAATCCCTGAGAATCTTCCTTGAGTCTCCCTTCTCAGCTGGAGTCCCTACTGAGTGGACAGTTGGCTCTGGTTGTGTGGGGGGACCCAGGAAGGGAGGCTGAAGAGTACTTCTCCACCTTCTTTTTTGAGGCCCTGCCACAGTTTTGGGAATGGAGACCTCTCCTGGCGCTCTTGGCCTCTCCTAACTGGGAACTGATTCCCAGGGACACCCACCACCCCCACCACCCGGTCCGGTTCTCTTGGCCAGAGCCCGGGTATGGCCACAACTTCAGCCGTCCCTTGTGGGAGATGACAGCCGCCTCTCTCATGCTGGAGCCTCCCTCCCGCCCCGCCCCAACACACACACACATTCCACATGCCTTGGACCCCTATGGGAAAAGCTGCCAGAGGGTTCTTGTCAAGCATCAGGCCACAGCCACCCCCACCAACCTCACCAAACCCGATGTGTCAGACTTCTTCCCAGAACCCCAGGAGGCAAGACCCGACGGGCTCGACCCTTGTAGAAACTGGGGCATCCCAGAGGGGCGCCCCCAGAGACCCGCAGCGCCCCTGGCGAACCAGGGACAGACGAGGACCCCCGGCTTCCCCGGAGGTGGGCCTCCAAGGGCACCTGCCCAAGGCCACCCAGCGCGCCGCGGCCAGGGCGGCGGAGCGGAGCCGGACCTCCCAGCCGTCGGAGGGGGCGGTGACCGCCCGGGGCCTTCCCACGGCTCGGCCTGCGCGTCACCGCGGGGGCGAGGGGGCGCCGGGGCGCCGGGGCTGCGGCGCAGGAGAGGGCCCTGGGAAAGGGCGGCGGGGCCGGGGCGGGGCCGGGGCGGGGCCGAGGCGGGGCCTGGGCGGGGCCGGGGCGGGGCCGGGGCGGGGCCCGACTTCCCGGCCTGGGGCAGGCACCGTCGCGCGGAGACCCAGAGCCTGTGCTCGCCATGAAGCGGCCCAGGGAGCCGAGCGGGTCTGACAGCGAGTCCGACGGACCCATCGACGTGGGCCGCGAGGGCGAGCTGAGGTGAGGGCCCGGATGGGGATACTGGGAGTGCCTGGACGGGTTCAGCGGGCCTTAGGACTATCTCTCCATATGGCCTCAGCAGACGCAGGTGTGGGCGAACGCCCGCAGGTGTGTGTGTTGGGGGGGAGGTGCGAGTGGGGGCACGTGTGCAGCGTGGGCCGTGACACACACGAGTGTCTGGATCCTCTGCACTCTGGGCCATTTCAGGCCCAGGGTGCCGGGATGGAAGTGGAGTTCAGCTCTGGGGTTTCATGTCCAGTTGGTGATAGTCTTTCTGGAGAAGTGCCAGGTTGAAGCTATCGGAGAGGAGTTTTCCCTGAAGATCTTAGGAAACCCTCATCGTTCCACACCCCCGCTGAGTAGGCAGAATAGCCATATTTTCTCTATTCTACACTAGCTTGGGTGCACTTTCCATGTAGTACACAAAAGGCTCACAGGGGGAAGGATCTCCTTCCCTTGAGCAAACTGGACTTTGGAATGAAGGTTTTGGTACCGAAGAAAATAATAGCTGACTTGCCAGTGCAGGGGCCTAGATTCCAATTCCAACACTCTTTCTAATGCACACCCTGCTGCCAATGCTTCTCAGCTCCTGGTAAATATTCTGACTTGCTTCAAACCTGTGGAACGAACTCCACTGGCACCATTCCACTTTCCTCAGTTCTGTGAACAAACTAAGCTTCAGTTTCCTCCTCAGTGGAATGGGTATAAATAACAGATCCGATCCCTGGTTTACCAGGAAAATCAAATAAGATGATGCATGTATGTCACGGGCTTAGCAGAGGGCTTAGCACATAGCAAATGTTTAATTCGTGTCACACACCCAACATGTGATGCCCCAAGCCCTGAAAGAGCAGCAGGAACCGAGTGGGAGTCTGCAGACCCAAACCTGCCACTGACTCACCCTGTGACCTTGGGCCGTTGCTTTCTCTTTCTGAGCCTGTTTCCTCATCCTTAAAATAAAAGGAAGATATAGAGTGGGAAAGGGAGGGGGGCTATCTGATCTCTCCTGACTCATCCAAACCTGACTCTCTAGAACAATTTGAAAGGGGGATTCAGTTCGTCCTTAGGGATGTTTTTGAGTGGATTTCATCATTTCAGTAACTTCAGTTTTCTGAGACCAGGAGATCCTACCTCAGTCACCAATCCTAGTAAAATGTCACCAGTTTCCAAGTATTTATAGCTTATAACAGGACATAGGGCAATAGATATCCCCCTTGAATCCTGTACATTAATTGGGTTTGGGGGTATATAATATAATTTCCTATGCTACTTATTAGCATTCTTAAACTGTTTAGCAGAAATTGCTATCTAGAGAAGCAATTCTCTGAGTCTGGGCCTGCTAGGAGCAGGGGATGGGCCCAGCACCATGTGGTGGTAGTGGAGGGGGTTCTCAAATTCAATGTCATTGGGTCTTCATGAATCAGAGGCATGAAATTGATGCCAGAGAGCTGGCTCTGTCTTCCAAGAATTTGCATTTTGGCCGGTGACCTGCCAGGTCACACAAAGACCATGGACAGAATGGAAAATGGAAGGAGAGACAGACTGTGGGCTGTGAGGGCACCCAAGCAGGGAGAGGTCACTTATACACAGAGGGATCATGGAGGGCTTCTTGAAGGTGGTGGCATTGGGGCAATGGCATAAAGGATCAGTGGGCAGATTTTTCCTATACGGCATTTTGTCTTTTTAGTCAGAGCCTTTTTAGTTAGAAACTGTCTAGATTCTTAAAGGAGCAGACCCTCTCAGAGTAGAGAAAGCAGTTGGACATCTGGCAGAGGCTGACTTATAGACCCCTCTTTGTAGCACTCACCAAAGGGCCCTCCCCCCAGCAGACATCAATGCTTCAATTCAGGGTGTGCTGAACGATGCCTGCTGTGGCCCAGACCCTGAGCTGGGCGTGGGGGGCCCAGATGTATCCTGCTAAGCCTCTGCCCTCGGGGAACTCTCAGAGAAGAAGAGCTTCATGTACAAAGAAAGCCAGATAAACAGTGGCAAGGGCCACAAGACTGGGGCAGCCAGCCTCCCCGGGGTCAGAGGCAGGGCGCAAATCCCCCACACTTGAAGATGTGAGAATAAGAAATAGGGTGTATTCCATTGTTACTGCCTGGTGGTGGCATCTTGTCCCATATGAGAAAATCACCCACAGATCTCCTATCTGAACCCAGCAGTCCCCATCCCCCAACTCCACTGACACATGCTGGGTCCCAACGGAGAGTATAGCTTCTCGATCCCCTCCCCCTCTGTGAACATTCAGTGAACACCTGTCATATATCAGGCACTGGGTCGGGGCCTGTGGATCTTTCTTACATGATTTAAGGCACATGGTGGCCTTTGATGTCAGACCTGAGTTTGATTCTCACCACCATTAACATGGGCATTTCTGGACTTCAGATTTTCTCCCTTACAACACAGGGAAGCTAATACCTACCTCACAGGGGGGGCCTTTGATGAGGTAATGTTCCTAAACTGCACAGCTCCCTGATTTAGCCCAAGGTAACTTCCAACAAATGCTGCTCTAGAAGGGGTCACCATTCAATTGGAAGGTGCCATGTTCACAAGGCAGCTTGGCCTAATGAAAAGATCAGGAGCCTGATGATTTGCTGGGCATGATTCTTTTTTTTTTTATTTTTTTTATTTATTTATTTGACAGACAGAGATCACAAGTAGGCAGAGAGGCAGGCAGAGGGAGAGGAGGAAGCAGGCTCCCGGCTGAGCAGAGAGCCCATGTGGGGCTCCATCCCAGGGCCCTGGGATCATGACCTGAGCTGAAGGCAGAGGCTTTAACCCACTGAGCCACCCAGGCACCCCGCTGGGCATGATTCTTAACTCTTTGTGTCTCTGTCACTCCATCTATCAAATGATTATTTTTCCTAATGTGAAATAGCCCCAGTAAGATTTAATTCACAGGGCCGTTGTGCAATAAAGGAGACAAGTGAAGGTGGAAGTACTGTCTAGAACAAGGAGTACTGGCTATGGGACACACATGGTGGAGGAGGGGGTGGCAATATGGGGTGCACTGGGAAGAGCACTGGATTAAAAGCCAGGAGACTTGGCTCCAGTTCTGGAATTTCCTCTAATTTGCTGTGTGGCCTGGAACAGACCCTTCCCCTCTCAGATTTGCAAGTGGGCTCAGTGCTCCTGAAAACCCTTCACTGGGGATATCATGATTCTGCCTTTGGTTAATGCAAAATGAGTGGAGTCATCTATCTGTAAGGGTTTGGGGGGGAGTGCCCCAGGGGGCCTGAGGGTGAGTGCTGAGGGCAGTCGGGACTGGCAGCCAGACCACCTAGAATGCTGCTCCCCCCGCAACCCCACCCCGAGAGACCTCCCCAGAAATCTGGCTAGGGACCACTCAAGGTCCCTGGAGTAGATCTTGGTGGTCGGCATATCTTCTCTGGGTCCGTGAAAATCTGCCTTATTTTCAGACTGTCAGACAAGAAGCTCTCACACCTCCCCCCAGTGTCAGGGCCAGATCACAGCCTGGAAGTGAGCTCTGGTTGAGCTCTTGGGAGCTTTAAGGATAAGGGGACTGGAGGGCTATTCAGACAGACAGGAAATAGGAATTAAGAGGGAAAACAATGCTGATTTTGGAGCCAGAAGACATGGATTCCCATGCTGGCTTTGCTCTTTAGCAGCTGCGTAGGCTGGGCAAGCTGCCTTTGGTCTCCAAGCCTCAGCATCCTCATCTGTAAAATGGGGCTTTTGGTAGGCTCAAAGGAGGGAAATATACGTAGTGATGCCAATAAAACTGTGAAGTGAGGTTTGCCTGTGAGATATGGGAGTCAGGGAAGGGGATAATACTACAGAGAATGAGTGACCAGGAGAGTGGATAAAGGGATTGCAGAGCTATTGTGTCCTACAAGGGGCGTGCCAGCCTCCGACAGATGGTCCCTGAGGAGGGATCAGGCTGAGGGGCAGTGACGTGCACAGTGCTAACCCAATACCCCTAGGGACTCCTTATCCAGTCTGGGTGGGGCAGACAAAGGTCATGTTTTAGTATCCCTTGGCTCTTGGGTCTTGTCCTGAGCATAGCTTTGTAAACAAGCTGCCCTACAGATCTCAGGATCTGGCCATCTGAGCCCTGGACCTAACTTGCTGGGCCATTCCTCCCAGGAGCTTACCAGCCTCTCTCATCCAGATGTTTGGAAGGAGATGCCCTTTTCCAGATGTAGCTGGACAAAGCCAGGGACATAGCAGGGGGATTTGATCACTGTTGATGTGGATTCTCCTGCAACCTTCTTTCTTTGAACACTTGATGAAAATGATCTAGCCTCTCATGCCAAGAGGATAGTTACATGGGCTGGGACCCTCCTGGTGAGCCACATAGGCCCCCATTCCACAAAGGCCTGGGAGGTAGCATTTATCGTGTCACTTCTCTGCTCCCCGGTGATGCCAAAGATGGGGGCAGGAGGAGGGAGTGCAACCATGGGCTCTGCTGTGCTCCAAGCACTTGCTGGGTACGGGGGCTGCAATGGTGAATGAGACAGACACGGTTTGTGACCTCAGGGAGCCTACGCACTTGCTGGAGAGATAGACATTAATCAAATAATCATATACATAAAAAACAACAAATGGGCATCCGTGCTGTGAATGCAGGATGATAGGAGAGGGTAGATCAGGGGGTATCTAATGGGAGGAGGGATGGCAAAAAAGGCTCTCCCTGGAAGGTGGCATTTGTGTTGAGATCTGAACAGTGGTAGAAGGTACTAGGCAAAGAGGCTGAGGCTTGGGGGTGGGGAGACAGGGAGCACCAGAGAACTCTAGGCTAGGGGAACAGTATGTTCCGCCAAAGGAAGGAGTAGAGCGTTCACAGGCTGCAGCACACAGAGCAAAGGAGGGTTGAGTCTAGGAGGTGACAAGAGCCAGCTGGGCCACCTGGAAGATGACAGCCTTGATCCTAAAAGCATTGGGAAGGCCCTGAGGAGTTTTAAGAGAGTGACAAAATCAGATGTGTATTTAAATGATCACTAGGTTTGTTTGTAGGGGATCAAAGGGGTGCAAAGGGACCCAGCAATAGACTCTTGCAGCAGTCCAGGTGACAGATGACAGATTTTTGTCCTCTGAGCAGGAGTGGAAATAAGTAGGACAGAGGAGAGATGTATCTCACACGGAACGGGCATTTTTGGATGAGGTGGGTGAGGACAGAAGAGGAATCAAAGGTAGTGGTGGCCAGGTGGCCTCACAGAGCTGGGAGATGGGGTGCCTTTGCTGAGATGGGGGCCCTGGGGAAGACAGGGGTGGTGGTGGAGCAGAGGCAAGCTCACAGGTACATGCTCAGATATTTGGCATTTTGCATTTGGAAATGGCAGGGGAGTCCCCTTGTCTATAGTTATTTGTTGATAGGGCATCTCCCCCTGGGAGCTGAGTGTCTGGACAGCTGGGGCCTGGCTGACTGTGTCCAGTCTAGCCCTGGACCTGAATGGGACCTCCGGGGTGTTGGCCAAATGAATGGCCCTCTGTGCAAACCCGAGAATCCCCTGTGTTCCGGGAGAGCCTCTGAAGCAGGAAACCGTTAGCGGGGCGAGCTGTTGGGCTGGAGAAGATTTCGGTCAGTCGCGGCAGGAAAGCCGTCCCCCCCCCGGGGGGGGGCGTTGCTGAACCTCTTCCCGGCAATGGGGACTCCCCAGGGTGCGAGCAAACATCCATTCTGTGCCAGGCCTGCGGAGGGGCGACCCGACGCGATGCAGGGTTGCAGCCTTCGGGGGAGGCCGGGGCAGCGTCCCGAGAGTCCGAGGGGGCCTGTGACCCAGATGCCGCCTCCCCCTCGCCCCGGCCGCGCTGCGTGGGAGGAGGCGGCAGCTGCTGGCGGGGCGGAGGGCGGGCGGCGGGCGGCGGGCGCGCCCGGCCCGTGGGAAGCGGCGGCATCTGCTCTTTCCACGCTCTTCCCAGCGGCTCCCTCTGAAACCCAACCCGCCGGCTCGGCCCCGCCGCCGCCGCTGCCGCCGCCGCCCGTGCCCTCGCCCGCCCCGCCCGGGATCGGGTTGCAGGAGCGCGGCTGCCGGCTGCGGTTCCCCGACGCCCGCGGCGATGGGCAGGGGGCAAGGCCGAGCGGATAGGGCCCAGAGCCCAGCGCCCCCCCCCCCCCCCCGCCCCACAACCTCCACCTCAACCGTCGCGCGACCCTGGGGCGAAACCCAGCGCAGGGGCGACTTGGCTGGGGAGCAATGGGCCACCACCCACGCCTGCCCTGCGCTGCCTCCCAGCCTGGGAGTCTTCGGCCGCCGGGGAGACCACGACCAGTCCCGGAGGGGCAGTGCCCGCCCACATCCCTGGCTCCTTCGAGTTCAGCCCGGGTCAGGGAGATGGTCCCCCAGCACTGAAAAATCAGCCTTTCTCTTCTTCTGCAGCCAGATGGCCAGGCCGCTGTCCACCCCCAGCCCTTCGCAGATGCAAGCCAGGAAGAAACGCAGAGGGGTGAGTGTCTGTCTGGGCAGAGTTGCCCTGAGTCCCCAGGGCCTGGCCAGGAGAACCCAGCTCAGAAACATCACCCCCATCCAGACTGCCTAAGGGGCAACCCTGGCTCTGCCAGGAGCTAGCAGAGAGACTTTGGGAAAGCCCCCTAACCTCTCCCTGTCTCATTTCTTCAGCTGTGTAACTGGACCAGTGAGAGTGCCTACCTCAGAGGGCTATTTTGAAGATTAAATGAATTAATGTAATACACTCAGGACACCTGACACGCAGTTAGGCCTTACTGTTTATTCCAGCCTCCCCCTCTCCTGTCCAAGACCAGAACTTTCATTTCCTCTCAGGGTGCTGGGTGGGGGAACAGAAGAAGGTGGCTCCCTGGCTGGCTCTCTGCCACCTCATCCCAGCCCCCACCCTCTTATGCCCCCAGGATGCAGCTGTGCTTCTGCCCTGGGCGTCCAAAGACCGGGAATGGGGCAAAGACCAGCCCTGCCACTCACTTAGGCCAACCACTTCCTTCCAGCCCTCATCTTTATCTGTAAAATGGGGGTCATAATGTCTGCCCTGCTCTCAGTATTCAGCTACCAGTAGGGGGAGGAGAGAATGAGGTTGTGTGAATGAGAGGCCTTCCCAGCTGGAAGCAATGCCTGTTCACCACCCAGCAACTGAAGGGGTAAGCTTGGCCAGCCGAAGCCCTCCGGGGCCTGCTGCGGGGCTGTGGCTGATGTCCCTGCTCTGATGGGTCAGTATCCTGCTGTGCCTGTGGTTGAGCATTTTGAACATCACCCCTGCAGACCGTGACAAGAGAGAGATTGGAGTTCCACTCCCAGCTTTGCACTGCTTCGCTGTGTGACCTTAAGCAAGTCACTGCCCCTCTCTGAGCCTCAGTTTCCATCCCCCTTAAGTAAGAACAAATTTCCCTCCCTCACAGAAGTATTGTAAGGGAAGATATGAGTCAGTGTCCCTCAAAGCACGTTGGAAATCGGCAAAGTGCTGGTGAGTAAATTCCTGTCATTGTGTTTTAGATCATAGAGAAACGGCGCCGAGACCGCATCAACAGCAGCCTTTCTGAGTTGCGACGCTTGGTCCCCACCGCCTTTGAGAAACAGGTATGTGATATTCCTGTTGGTGCCAGAGGAAACCCCACGCAGGTGGCACGTCGTACTGATTGGCAACAGCTCCTTGACGTTCTGCTGCCTCGTTTGCTGATACCTGTCACCTGCTGGTATCAGCCAGGGAGAAAGGGGATGGAAATTTATATTGACTCTGGTGTCTCCGATGTTGGGGCTTTCTTTCCATCACCCCTTGACAGGAATCCTCAAAATGATCCTAAAGGGTAGAGATGATTATGCCCATTGCACAGATAAGGAAACCGAGGCACAGAGAGGTGAAGTACCTTGCACTTGGTCACACAACTAGGAAGTGGCAGAAAAGAACTGGGCCACTGAACTGTGTGCCTCTAGAGCGCCCTCACCCTCTGCACTGCTGACAGTTCCAGAGCTGTTTGAAAGCGGAGCAGGCTGCTTGGCGTGTGAGCCCCCTGCCACTGCCCGTGTGCGGTAGGAGGGTGGTAGTGGGAAGGGAGTCAGATGGAGAAATCAATCAGACAGTCTCAAAGGTTCTCCATCCTGTGTTCCAAGGCTCGGTCATGGGTCATGTGACTTCCTTTATGCTGGTGAGAACAAGTCAGTCTTTCCAGAGGTGTTTGCTGAAATTTTCACGGGCCCAGCCATGACCTAGACCTGGTCCCTGCCCTCAGGAGTTCACTGGGAGAGTCTGACCCTCAGGTTTCCCTTGGGAGACCAGGGGATGCTGGAGGCATAGCAAACATTGTTCAGGAGAAAGAACAGGGGACGAGGAGGTGCTGTGGGGCTAAGAGGGTGAGCTAGATCTTGGTCATGACGAATGTAAAGTTGGATTCCCAGGAAAGCTGGTCTAGGAGGCCAGTCGGTACATGGGAGTGGGATTCTACAGATGATGCGCCAAGCCATGGAGCTTGACGAGACCTTCGGGGAGAATGTGCAAGCGAGAAAAGGGAGCCAGTGCCCACTGGGGAACAGCCCCATTTTAAGGGAACAGGCAGAGCAAGGTAGAAGAAGCCAGAAAAAGTCAAGGGAAGGAGGGCTTTTGGGAAGGATGCTCAGCAGTGCAGGGGTGCACGTGGACTGAAACGGGAACAGAAGAGAATCTGTTTGTTCTAGAAACCTTGGCCAAAGCAGAAGGCTGCCTGCAGGCTGTGGTGGAGTGGGAGGAAGACGGGGACATAGAGCCGGTGAGGGCTGATGATACCACAGGGAGGGGAGCGAGAGGTCAGCGGGAGGCCTTCACACTTCTGTCTTCTGTGCACACAGGGCTCCTCCAAGCTGGAGAAGGCTGAGGTCCTGCAGATGACAGTGGACCACTTGAAAATGCTCCATGCCACTGGTGGGACAGGTACCCATGCTCTTCTCTCCGGGGACTCATTCATGAAACATGTATCTGGGGGCTAGGCCCTGCAGATCCATTGGTGAGCAGAGTAGACATGGTCCCTGGCCTCAAGGAGCTCACGGTCTGTGGTGGGGCTGGAGCAGGTCCAGGGGCAGCAGTCACAAAGCCTGGCTCTCTCCTTTCATCATTGTCCTCTCTGCTGTCAGCATCCCCATTGGTCCCCACCTTGTCCTCAACTCTGCTCCTTCCAGCCTTAGCCCTTGGAGGAGCTCATCTACACAGACTGTCCCTACAGGTTCCCCACCTTAACCCCCACCCTCCTTAAACCTTAGCCTGAATGAACTCATTCTCACTGGGATCCCGGTTGAAACCCTGGGAGGGGCTGTCTGAGATGTTTACCCACAGCTGTTTACTGGTGTGCCTTGTGGGCTAATGCTGGGGTCCTATGGTGTCCTTAGCAGCACTGGGACCATAGGTCATGCTCACAGTTGAAGATCCGTCGTGGGATTATAGTAGAACCCAAATGTAACTCGTGCTGTTATTTTGGGCTGGTCCATTACTGTGAAGTCGTGGAACTGTGGCTTTAAAAAGACTTCTGGACAAATGGAAATTCTGTCTGCCTGAAGTCTTGCTGTGTATTTTGGCGATTTCACAATTGAGAAATCTTGAAAGCTCCACAGACCTGGGCCACAAAAACCTAAGTCCTAAAACTTTAACTTGACCACCTTTGGAGGGGTCATTCACATTTCGAGTGACCCAGCCTGGTGCTTCTCCAGCTTCAGTGAGCCACAGTACCATCCGGGGGCAGACAGCCACGGGGCACACCCCAGAGACGCTGAGCCAGGAGGCCTGGCCTGGAGGTTAGGAATTTGCATGTTTAGCAAACACGCCCGATGACCCTGATGCAGGTGGTCACTTTGAGAACTTCTGCCAAAGGAATGCATGGCTAACAGCGAAAACTTCTGATTCTAATCAACCAGTTGAGGAGAGCTCTCCAGCTACATTTATGGGTATCCAATTCAAAGAAAAATAGTGACTAATATTTTGGCCAGCATTTTATCGTTTCAAAATGCTTTTACCAATATTATCTCATTTGATTCTCACAAGAATCTCGAGGCTAGGGGTTGTTGGCATCCCCCTTCTCTGGCCAAGGGCTAACGGAGGACAGGACTGGCTTAGAGCCCTGGCTTTGGGTTAGAATCCTGAATCGAATTGATTCAAATCCCATGAATTGTGAATTTGGCTCTATTACTTGCTAGCTTCATGACCTTTGACAGTGATTTAACTTCTCTGCGCCTCAGTGGTCTCATCTCTAGAACAGGAATGATAGGATTTTCCTGAGGATTAAATCAGATAATGGGAATTGAGTGCTTTATAAGAACTCAGAATATGTTAGCTGAAGAAGAACAGCAAATGCAGAAACTGAAGGGACTTATTCAAAATCACATAGCTAAGTATACAGCCAAGGAAGGTCTTGCCCTCAAGGAGGCCTGACTCCAAACACGGTCTCCTGCAGAGCTGCCACTCTGTGGGAGCCTCAGCCATGAACCGAGGACCAGATGTTTGCAGCCAGAGTCATGAGGCCAGTGCTCATTGAGGCTGGTCTGTCTTTGCACGGAGGATGGTTAAGAGAAGGGCAGGTAGAAAGGCAGTGAGATGGGACGCCTGGGTGGCTCAGTTGGTTGGACGACTGCTTTCGGCTCAGGTCATGATCTTGGAGTCCCGGGATCGAGTCCCGCATTGGGCTCCCAGCTCCACGGGGAGTCTGCTTCTCCCTCTGACCTTCTCCTCGCTCATGCTCTCTCTCACTGCCTCTCTTTCAAATAAATAGATAAAGTCTTTAAAAAAAAAAAAAAAAAGGAAAGAAAGGCAGTGAGAACTGAATACCTCCATGGCCAGGCCACCTGGTCAGACCTCACTGAAACCAGTCAGACTGAGTGAGGATCCCAGCCTGGTGGTGGCGACCACTGAGGACCAGAGTCAGGTCCTGCTTTCCTGACCACCCTGTAGGGCGAGGGCACAAACTCACATGCCTCCAAGGGCCAGGCCAGTCATATGCAGTTGAGCCCTGAACACAGGTTTGAATAGTGCAGGTCTACTTACATGCAGAGTTTTTACACTAAGTGGAAACATTTTGGGAGATTTGCAACCATTTGGGAAAAAAAAAATGGCACACATACCACATAGGCTCGAAATACTGAAAAAATTAAGAGAAAGTTAGGTGTGTCATGAATGCATAAAGTAAACAAAGATACAAGTCTGTTTTATCACTTACTACCATAATATATACACACATTTATTACTGAAGTTAAAATTTAGCGGAACTTCCTCATACAAACCCTTTCAGACCATACACAGTGCCATTTGCAGCACAGAGAGATGTAGATGTAAAGATGCGGTGGAAATGTAAATGTATCAAGTTAACTGTGGTGTGTACATACTATACTCCAGGAATAATTTCCTAGCTGCCTCCTGTTACTCTTGCAATGAATTCACGTGTTGCCAAGTATCTGCTTAAGACCTCACGTGGCACTAATCATCGTGCCTGAGCTGTCGTCTCTCCAGACTGCTATCACAGTAAAAAGTGATCTTTGGTGGTTCTTACTACTAGTAGTTTTGTGGGGAGTCAAAAGTTTACTCAGGTGTTCAACTGTGCTGGGGGAGGATCGATGCCCCTAACCCCTGTGTTGTTTGAGGATCAAGTGTAAATGAGGGCTAACTTTGAAGTCAGGGACGATTTCTGTCCACCGTTGCATTTAATTCCACCTGCACGACCCTGTGCGACAAGTATTACTCTATGTCCATTTTACAGCTGAGGAAACTGAGGCTTAGAGAGATTAAGAGACACATCCACGATCAAGCCACTAGTTAAGTGGCAGAGCTGGTATTTGAACTCAGCTCTCCTGGCCTCCAGAGACCTCAGGTAAAGGTATGACACTATACTGCCTTCTCTGAGGAGTCCCCCACTGACCCGTCCTGAAGGCTGCGGTCGCCACCTCCCATGCGTGCAGGCCTTTCACACCTGGCAAGTATTCACTTAAATGACATTATCCTGGTCACCATATTTCTTCTCTGCGTTCATCATAAATGTCGACGAAAATGATACTCCATGATTTATCATGCTTCCTAGTTCAGTGACCTTATTGGATCCTCACAGTTCATCCCCTCTACCCCACATAGGGGTGATTATTCCCACTTTACCGAGGTGGAGACGGGGTCTCAAAGGAGTGAGGTGGCAGGCGCAAGGTCACACAGGCCTGACCCCAGGATCTGCACTTGGCCCTTGCCTGACCCACACCCTCACCACACCTCACTTTGCAGGATTCTTTGATGCCCGAGCCTTGGCAGTGGACTTCCGCAGCATCGGTTTTCGGGAGTGCCTCACCGAGGTCATCAGGTACCTGGGGGTCCTGGAAGGGCCAAGCAGCCGTGCAGACCCCGTCCGGATTCGTCTTCTCTCGCACCTCAACAGCTATGCAGCCGAGATGGAGCCTTCTCCCACGCCCGCTGGTCCCCTGGCCTTCCCTGCCTGGCCCTGGTCCTTCTTCCATAGTTGTCCAGGGCTGTCAGCCCCGAGCAACCAGCTCACTATCTTGGGAAGAGTGCCCGGTCCCATCCTGCCCAGCGCCCCCTCTCTCGCTTACCCCCTCCAGGCCCTCCGAACCGCTCCTGTGCGCAGAGCCACTGGCACCATCCTACCAGCCCGCAGGAATTTGCTGCCCAGTCGAGGGGCATCTTCCATGCGGAGGGCCCGTCCCTTGGAGAGACCAGCTGCTCCCCTGCCTGTAGCCCCCGGCATCAGGGCTGCCAGGAGCAGCCACACGACACCCCTCCTACGATCTTCTTCCCCTATACCTCCTGGCATTGTGGGGTCCCCTGCTTATGTGGCTGTTCCTGCCCCCAGGCCCTCTTCCCCAGGGGCAGCTGGGAGGCCAGCAGGAGCTGGGCCCTGCCACTCCTGGGTCTCTGAAATCACTGAAATCGGGGCTTTCTGAGCTGGCTTCTCCCCAGGAGCGAGGAGGGTTCTTTTTCTAGGAGCTCTAAAAACAGTGCTGTCTTCTGCCCTGCTTCCTGACCTGGCTCCTGTCTGTGATGGCAATTTCCCTCACCCATCAGAGGCCCCTTCCTCCTTTGGCCCACCTCCCCTCCTCACTACCCATCCCAGCTTGTCGACCCAGCTCTCCTGGAGCTGTTCTGATCTCAGAGGCCTGGTCTCATTTCTTACCTGGGACAAATAAGTCCTGGGAGGGCCCCAACAAGCTGTGCCCAGACCCTTTCCTGCCCCGGCACACAGAGAGCAGCAGGCATGAATCTAAGGTCTGGGAACAAAGCTTGACCCTAAAAGACATAACAGCCTCAGGCTGGCTGCTTGTCTAGAGAGTTCAGAATCCAGCTTGTGCAGTGACTGGTTCAGCCTTCCCAGGACCCCAGGACTAGGACATAGTGTCTGCCTCACTTCCGGAGACAGTAACAGAGCAGGGGCCACAAAGTGGTCTCTGGGGAACCCCCGTCTGCCCCTGTCCACCCCACTGCAGTGGGCCACAGGACAGGAACCCCTGTCCACCACAGCCAAAGCCTGGGGGTTAGGGGCCCAGCACGGCCTGCTCGGGTGTTCTGCCCCACTGCAGACCCCTCCCCTCCGGCTAAGCCACAGTTCCCTGCATAGAGACTGGGAGGTTTCTGGGCAGCAGTAAGACTCCAAAACAGGGGGTCCTTACCAGCAGGCCTGGGACAGCACCCCCAGACAAGAGCCGGGTTTGAGTGGAGAACACAGCTCCCTGCCTCTCACACCGTCACCATCTTCCAGATGCCTGTTCCCTGTTGGGTGCACAGTGTGGAGGGTCACGTTCCCATGTGATGGCGCCCCAAGAGGAGCCCTCTTGGGATTCAGCACCAGACGTTTGTGCTGCCTGGTTTGCATCCGGCTCGCAGAGCCCAGACTGTGGGACAGCCAAGGGCTGTCAAGCTGGACAAAAATAACTGCAAGGAGGGACGAGAGGAAGGACAGTCAGAGGCAGTTAGGCCCTTCAAGGTCACACGGTGGGTCAAGGGCCTGAGATCCTGTTCACCCAGGATACCATGCAGCTGGCTCTGCTCAGAGGCCGTTTCATGACCCAGCTCCAGCCCTGGCCACTTGTCCTCTAGCAGAGGGAGCAAATGGCCTGGCCCCCATTCCCAGTGGAACAGCAGAGATCAGAAAAGATCGGGAAAGACCCCAGAATGACGTTCAGCTGGACCCGTGTTGCCAGACCTTTGTTGAAATGTATAGCCGCGTCTGTGCTTGCTGGCAGATATCTGCTTCCCTTGAGGGCTCCCAAATGCCCTCCTGCCCCGTGTGGCTTTCCCCCAGGACCCTGCGCTGATCCATGCCAGGCTGACCAGAGGCTACAGCGTCCTCTGGCCAGCAATTCCTTGGTGCTTACTTGCGCTGGTTGGTAAATACTTCTTTCGAATGTCACCCCTGGGAAGATTCTTTCACTCCCGCCCTTTGATGGGATTACCCTCCCCAGAGACTAAATTGAGGAGATCCTTGGGCTCAGACATAGAATTTGCTAAAACCCCGGTGAAAGGGCCCTTTTGAGAAATGGGACAGAGGGCAGAGATCATTTAAATGACCCAGAAATCTCTTTTGAAAACGCGAATTCCTCCAAGAGGCATTAAGAGCTAACATATTCGGTGTTCGTTCAGATTTCTGTGCTTCTGGATGCGTCTGAGACGTGCAGCCTCAGGGAGCGAGGGCAGAATCTCAGGGAGTGGGTCACCAGCCAGGAGGGCTCCTAAGGGAAACAGAGAGGGAGGGCAGGGCAAGTCAGCAGGCTCCCAGGAGTTGGGAGAGGGGGCAGGGGGACTCCAGAAGCAGAAGGCAGAGCCCGACTTCACCTTTGTCACAGAAGGTGGGAAGAATGGCTGCTGTTCCTAATCTTTCTCCATCCCCCCACCCCACCGCGGAGCTCTCCCTGCTCCCAGGATACCAGGTCTGGGCTCCAGTCCCGCAGTTTTGGCAACTTCATAACCTGAGAAGATGGGGAACCCATTCCCACATTTCCAGGACCCAGTTGCAGAAGAATCTGTTGACACCATTGAATGACTTGGAAACGGCCCAGAACTTTCAGCATCTGAGTTGATCTTGGGTTCATTTTCCCCAAGAGATGGCGGGTGGGAAAGGTGACTATGTATTCGTTTTTGTGGTTGAGGACTTGTATCTTCTGTTTCTATTCCCAAGCCTTTCTGGCATCCCCGACTCCTACCCCCTTGCTGGGGCTGTAGCAGGCATCCAATAAAGTTGTTTCAGTTCTTCTAAAAACCTCTGCAAGATTCTACTTCTTGAGATCTCTGGAGTCCATCCACTTCTCTCTGAGCCCACGGCTATCTGCCTGATCTGGCCACTTCATCTGCCCGCAGATCACTACCCTCCACAATGTCACCTTACTTCCCTTTTGCTTTGTCACTCAGTTCTCAAGGCAACCAGAGAGAGCTTTAAACATGCAAATCATATCATACCAACCCTGGCGTAAAACCCAAGGTAAAGTCCAAGCTCTTCACATCCCACTGGTCACTTCCAGCCAATTCTAATCTCGTTCGCTGTGCTTCTGCCACCCTGGCTTTCTGTCATTTCCTAGACAATCTGGCCTGTCCCCATCTCCAGGACTTGGCATACACGGTTCCCTTGCCCCGAATGCCCTTCCCCTGCCTTTGCTTGGCTGAGCTCTTTATACCCTTGGCTTAAACTTACCTCCTCAGAGAAGCCTTCCTTGACTACTGTGCTTGAATAGTTGGCGCATCTATCTCAAAGTCCCCTATTCTTTCTCTCCCTGAGGCACTTGCCATTGTGCATCCGCACATCCGTGTGTGTTTACTTCTTGGTTGACCGTGTCCCCCACCAGCTCGTAAGCTCCGTGAGGCCACATGTGGCTTGCTCCCAGCCCTGGATCCAGTGCCAAGCACTGTACCTGGCTCTAAGTTGGTGTTCAACAAATATTTGTTGAATAAATGAACTGGGGAGGTGAGGAATCTTCCAGACTCAAGCTGCTGGATGACACAAGGCCTCGAGGGGCGGACCCCCAACTGGCCAACTTTGTGGGGAGGCTGGAGAGCAGAGCGAGAGGCAGGGCCAAGGGACTGGAAGTTCTGGCAAATGGTGAGGAGGCTCTGGCCAAAGAAAAGTGTGCGTGTACTCGCGCTGGAGTGCACACTGTCAGCTGAGCACAGGCACACGGCCCTCCAGCACGTGTTGTTCTCCACTCTTGCCCTGATGGATCTGGCTTGCGATCAATCCGACAAACATTTGCAGAGGTCTGCTCCGTGCCAGGCCAGGTCGGGGAGAGCCGGGGTGATGAGCATACCGGTGCCCCGAGGCCTGGGACCCCTGTCTGGCGACAGTGTGCTGAGGTGAGAAAGGAGCAGGGCTTCTTGAGATGGCTCAGGGGACCCAGAGGGGATGTCTGCCTCTGCCCGTGGTGGCCACGGGGGCGGGGACAGCTGGGAGAAAGTCTTCCTGAAGGTATACCAGAGGAGGCATTCTACCAGCACAGGGAACCTCTGTGCAAAGACCTGGAGACATCATGGGCTGCCCTGCGAGTTGATTCTAAGTTGAGCATGGGCCTTTGGTGACAAAGGAAAAGCAGGCTAGCCAGGGCACTGAAACCAAACTTCCTGGGTTCAGCCTTCACCTCTGTCACGTGCCAGGGTTGTGTGGTCTTGGGCAAGTTACTTAACACCCCTAAACTTCAATTTCCTCATCAATAAAATAGGGATTTACTGAGTTACTAAGTGGTAACTACGTACCAGGCACTGTTGGTAATGCTTTTCTTGGAATGTTCCCATTTTACAGATGAGACAACTAAACCAAGACACTGTCTCCTGAAGTTAGGGGAGCTCAAATGGGGTAGCACACAGAAAGCCCTTAGCCCAGGGCTTGGGTCATATGAAACACGGAGTCAATCTTAGCCATTGGTGTCGTTAATGGAAAGAGACTGGATCCAAATTGGGGGAAACCTTGGGCGCCATGCAGAGTTTGGACTTTAGCTTCTGGGCAATGGAAGCCATGGAAGGTTTTTCCAGGTGAATACCAAGGTCGGACCCATGTAAGAAAGTCTTGCTTGGGGTAGTAACTGGGAGAAGGATTTTCCAGACTCAAGTCTACCTATTAATTGGAAACACTTAGGTGTTTTCAAAAACATCAGTGCCCAGGCCCCAGAGCTGACGATTTAACCTGTGTGCAACAGCCCAGACACCCCGTAAGGAGGTGTGAAAGAGAGTTGGAATTTCTTTCCCAACATAAATTTCCTAGTCAACAAAAATTTCTATTCAGTAGGTGAATTGGACTCTAGTTTGTGAGCCCAAAAAGAACTGATACTTTCTGGGAAGCAAAGCAGAAATTAATTTCCAGAAGGATGTCTCCATCCCTCAAGCCCCTCCTAGACCCTGGCCCATGGTAGATGTTTAAGAAACATTTTGTGTTGAAAGCTTTGGGGATTTGTAATTCATTCAAGGGTCATTGAGTATTTTTTGACTTTGTGGAAAACTCAAGATATTAGCTTCCTTCCCTTCCTCCTGGGAAAAAAGTGTAGGAAAAATCAGGACTGGGTATCAGCTGATTCTATTAATAACAGTAAACTTTGCGAGCCCTTGACTTACATTATCTCATTATAATCTTCCCTATAGCCCTGGGAGCAAGAACATTATTATCCCCCATTTTACCAAAAAGGAAATTGACACAATTTTTTAGGGAAAGCACCCAAAATTTACAATACTAATCAATGTTCTAATCAAAATGAAAATGAAGATCTGTCTGATTTAGTCTAAATCGGTACAGAACACTGTTTCCTGCCCAAGCTGCCTCCTGTTACAAAGTGGAAGACATTCAGTGGTAGGCTTTAAGGACTGGTGGGCTGGACTATTATGTTAGCCTGGGAAGCCTTCATCCCACCATGCTTTTTTCCTCTGTGCTAGTGAAAGTAAGGCTTGGCTGCTGTAACAAAGAGGCAGAGCAATAAATAACTCAGTGGGTGAAAGAAAACAGAAGCTTATTTATTTCTTATGTAACTGCCTGGTAAGTATTCCAAGTCAGCCAGAAGCTCTGCTCAATGCAGGCATTCTAGAACCCAGATTCTTTCCATCTTGATTCCTCACCATCCCTTAGGGCATTGTGCCTTCCTGGTAGAAGTGAGGTCTCCATGGGTTCAAGCCAGCAAGAAGGGAACAGAGCCTGGTATAGGCATGACCAGTCTTAAAGTCTAGACCCAGGAGTGGCATGTCTACATCCATCCACTTCTCTTGGTGAGAACTTTGATGGTTGGCCACATCATATTGCAAAGGAGGCTGGAAAATGCATTTTAGTCCTGTTCTCTGCAATAGGTGTGAATGGATGTTAACAGATTGTCTCTATCGCTTGGCCCTTACCGCCCAGCCTGGGAGGGCCATTGGAAGCTACTGACTCCCGTGTGTGTGTGTGTGTGTGTGTGTGTGTGTGTGTGTACACACACACGTACATCCACACATGCATGATCTGGAGGTTAATTTGCTTTGAGTTTAAGGAACCAAGTATAGACACTCTATCTACCATCCTCTGATTCCACAAGGGTACGTTAAATACCCTCAAATGGAATTGTGTCTGCACTGGGCCCAGCACTCCAGAGAACTCCCCCAGAAAACACACTGTAAGAGTAAGAGGACTTGTTGCCAGTGGGCCTCACCCACAGGTGATCAGCCTCCCCTGGAAGGACTGTGTGCCACATGGGGCCTTGAGGGCCTCCTTCCAGCATCCTGGCTCCCCACTGGGGAGGAGGCCCTGTGATGTTCATACCTTTCCAGACCCAGACTGGCTGTCCTGTTTGTTTCTCTTCCAGCTGCCAGGCACACAGCCTACCTGGAGCTCTGGTGAAAGGCCGGGCCTCATGGAGCCATGGGTTCTGTTTGTGGAAGTTGAGTCTCTCATGAGTCTCTTCTGAGATGGCCCTCATTAATTACTTGACAGTGGTGGGTGAAGAGGGGCCAGGCATTGGGTCTCCAAAGACTCCAGCTCTCAGGACTTTTTTTTTTTTTAACTTCATGTCAGAGTAGAAAGAAGCAGGAGTATCATTCAGCCCATGAATCTCAGAAAGCCGACTGGTCAACCTCAGTGGCCAACCTTGAGCCCAAGGGCCATTTTAAAGTCAGGGTTGGCTCAGAGCTTTGGGCAAAATCTGGGCTGCCCTGCTCTGCTCAAGGAAGT